CAAATTGCCATGTGCCACTTTCGGGGTTCCCCCCCAACACTGTGGTGTGTAAAATTTTTTTTGACATAGGGTGCTGGCAGTTTAAAGGGGCCTCCCTTTGCTGCTCCCCAGGCCCCTAATCTGCCGGGGGCCCCCTATTTTACGTTTCCTCATGCTCCCGGCCAGGTCCCAGGTCTTCTTTGGGGTCCCTGTAGGGGCCCCCCATTGCTGCTTTTCTCCATCGCCACACTCTCCCATGTGCCTTTCGGGTTTCCCTACCCCTGCTGGGTGTAGAATTTTTTAAACAAGGGTTTGTTTGGGCAGATTATGGGCCCCCTTTGCTGCTGCCAGGCCCCAATTTTGCCTTGGGCCCCCTTTTAAAAACCGCTTCCTCAGGGGGCCTGGCCGGGGCCAAGGTCCAGGTTCTCCCCCCAATTGCCATGTGCCACTTTCAGGGTCCCCTCACATGCGGGTGTGAAAAAAATTTTTTGGGGGGAAAATGGGGTTGCTGGCTTTTTAAAGGGGCCCCCCATAGCTGCTCCCGGCCCCAAAATTCCCATAGCCCCTTTTACCCCCTTCCCATGCTGCTGCCGGGTCCAGATTTCTTCATGGGTCCCTGAAAGGCCTCCCATTCCCTGCTGTCTCCATCAGCCACACTTACTCCATGCGGTGCCACGTATCAGGTCTCCTGCACACACTGCTGGTGTAGAGAATTTTTGACATAGGGGTGCACGTCAGATTAATTGGCCAATGCCCATAGCTCTGCTGAGCCAAAGGCCCTATAGCTGCCCATAGTGCCCCCATATAACCTGCTTTACCGAGTCATGCTGCTGCCAGGCTCAGAGTCGTCAGGTTCCTCTGTAATCGGCCTCACCATATTGACGCTAGCTGTCATCCAACGCCGAACAAACTCATGCCATTATCGCCTACTATATCTATGGTTCTCTCCACACACACGTCTGGTGTGTTGCGAACTTTTATTGACATAGGTGACCTGCCAGACTTATGGGTCCTCCTATAGTCTGCTGCCTTAATCCCCTAATCTGCCAAGTCCCCTAGATAAACCCTCGTTAGAGCATCCTCATTAATCCATGCTGCTGCCAGGTCCTAGAAGTCTTCATACAGGCTTCGGTGGGTACGCCTCTAAGTACCATAGGGTGCTGCGCGTGCTTTCGGGCATCCCATAGCTAGGGTGCTGGCAGATTATGGGCCTCCTATAGCTGCTTTGCCAGGCCCCTAATCTGCCATAGGCCCCTATAACCGCTTCCTCATGCTGCCAGGTCCAGAGTCTCTCATATGTGCCATCTTTCAGGTCTCCTCACACTGCTGGTGTGTAGAATTTTTTGACATAGGGTGCTGGCAGATTACGGGGCCTCCTATAGCTGCTGCCAGGCCCCTAATCTGCCATAGGCCCCTATATACCGCCTCCTCATGCTGCTGCCAGGTCCAGAGTCTGTCATGGGTCCTGTACGGCCTCCCATTGCTGCTGTCTCCATCGCCACACTCTGCCATGTGCCACTTTCAGGTCTCCTCACACACTGCTGGTGTGTAGAATTTTTTGACATAGGGTGCTGGCAGATTACGGGCCTCCCATAGCTGCTGCCAGGCCCCTAATCTGCCATGGGCCCCTATACCGACTCCTCATGCTGTGACGTTGCAACAAGGTGGAATTCAACCCTACATATGTTAGACCGCCTTTACGAACAGCAAAAGGCCATCACAGATTTCCTGATGTTAAAAGCGGATAAAGGTATTCCCTGTGTAACTTAGATGTCAGCCATTGGCAGCTCATGCGTGACACCTGCGCTTGCTCAGGCCCTTTGAGGAGGCCACGCTATTCGTGAGTCGGCAGGACTATGGGGTGGCATGAACGACGTCATTCCTCTGTTGCACGTCCTGGAACAAATGCTGTTAACAATGGCTGGTCAGGGTGCGGTAGACGTGGCGCACAGATCTCAACGCCACATGACCCCTGTGGGGGCAGGACAGGAAGAAGAGGAGGAGGTAGAGGAGGACATTGGTGCTCAGGAATTATTGAGTGAAATGGGTGGTTTTTTCACTCAGCGGACAGGAGTGGAGGAGCAGGAGCATCTGGTAGAGGAGGAGGAGGAGGAGGAGACAGAGGACCCAGACGCACACGTGGCAGTATGCTGTGGAGATGGAGGCAGGGAGTCCCTCGCATTCCTTGGCACAAATGGCCCATAGCATGCTCGGTTGCTTGCGTAGCGACAGCCGAATAATATAACCATCAGACAGAGGGATGACTTTTGGCTGTCCACCTTGTTGGACCCTCGCTACCGTTCAAAAATGGTGGCCTTTTTCACACCTGCTGAGAGGGAGGCCAAAATAACGTACTATAAAAACCACCTATGTAGTCAGCTGGTCTCTGCCTGTCTGCGCCAACGTCCATCCTCAGACACTGTGGGCCCTGTGCGCTCGCGTTCCGCTGCCATGGCAGCAGGGGAGGGGTGGGGTGGTGGTAGGAGCGTGGCAGCTCCACCAGCAGCGGCTGCCTCAGTCTGCAGTCGATGATGAGTAGCTTTCTTCACCAGCGCAGTGAGGAAACTACTAACCAGCAGCCAGCAGCAGCAGCAGCAGCATCAGGTGGACCTGGAGCAGGACCTCAAACAACAGGCTTAGGCCTACTTGGACAGCACCCTGCCAACCGAGGTAGACAATCCCCTTGACTACTGGGCAACGAAACTTGACCTTTGGCCCCAACTAGCTGAATTTGCCCTTGAAAGGCTGTCATGCCCGGCCAGTAGCGTGGCATCGGAGCGCGTGTTTAGTGCGGCAGGAGGTATTGCAACTCCGCGGAGGACACGACTGTCCACCCAAAGTGTGGAGAGACTGACGTTTGTGAAAATGAATCAGGCGTGGATTAGTCTGGATTTCAAACCACCAGTTCCTGACACAACTGACTAAATCCGCCATGAATCATGCCCCCAAAACATGTGCCACTTTCAGGTCTCCTCACACTGCTGGTGTGTTCCATTTTTTGTCATAGGGTGCTGGCAGATTACGGGCCTCCCATAGCTGCTGCCAGGCCCCTAATCTGCCATGGGCCCCTATACCGCCTCCTCATGCTGCTGCCAAGTCCAGAGTCTCTCATGGGTCCCTGTACGGCCTCCCATTGCTGCTGTCTCCATCGCCACACTCTGCCATGTGCCACTTTCAGGTCTCCTCACACTGCTGGTGTGTTCCATTTTTTGTCATAGGGTGCTGGCAGATTACGGGCCTCCCATAGCTGCTGCCAGGCCCCTAATCTGCCATGGGCCCCTATACCGCATCCTCATGCTGCTGCCAGGTCCAGAGTCTCTCATGGGTCCCTGTACGGCCTCCCATTGCTGCTGTCTCCCCATCGCCACACTCTGCCATGTGCCACTTTCAGGTCTCCTCACACTGCTGGTGGGTTCCATTTTTTGTCATAGGGTGCTGGCAGATTACGGGCCTCCCATAGCTGCTGCCAGGCCCCTAATCTGCCATGGGCCCCCGTACCGACTCCTCATGCTGCTGCCAGGCCCGTAATCTGTCATGGGCCCCCTGTTGTCGCTTGTTGGCATATTCCGCTCGTTCAGATGCTCCTTCTCCTGCTACTCCTCTTCACGGATTCCCGTCAGCAGTCTTTCTTGGAATCCGTTTCCAAGAGACAACAGTTTGCGAGCACGCACCAGACGGTGCAGAAGCTGAACGTCCTCCTGTCCAAGTTGCTGCTGCCAGGCTCGTAATCTGTCATGCGCCCCTGTACCGCCTCCTCATGCTGCTGCCAGGTCCAGAGTGTGTCATGGGCCCCCGTACCGACTCCAAATGCTGCTGCCAGGCCCGTAATCTGTCATGGGCCCCTGTACCGCCTCCCCATGCTGCTGCCAGGTCCAGAGATTGTGTCATGGGTCCCTGTACGGCCTCCCATTGCTGCTGCCAGGCCCGTATCTGCCATGGGCCCCCGTACCGACTCCTCATGCTGCTGCCAGGCCCGTAATCTGCCATGGGCCCCTGTACCGCCTCCTCATGCTGCTGCCAGGTCCAGAGTGTGTCATGGGTCCCTGTACGGCCTCCCATTGCTGCTGTCTCTATCATCGCCACACTCTGCCATGTGCCACTTTCAGGTCTCCTCACACTGCTGGTGGTTTCCATTTTTGTCATAGGGTGCTGCATGGCCTCCCATTGGTTGCTGCTGCCTCCACCGCCACACTGTGGCTCCACACTCTGGTTTTGGCCCGGTGACTGGCCAAATGAAGTGAAGTGTGCGGTGATTCTAAGATCGACGGCACTCATCTGCATGTCATACTGCCTGACAGTAATTATTTCTCTTCCCCAGCAGACTCCAAGGCATTTAAATTAAAGGTACAGTGTTCAGCACTAATATTAAGTCTCTCTGAAGCCTAGAAACACCCTTTTTTTAAGTTAAATTCACAGCGAATATATTCGGCTCGAATCGAATTTTTTTCTACGGAATTCGCCGAAGCAGTCGAATCGAATTTTTGAATACTTCGCTCATCTCTACAAGCCATACCTCTTCCCAATAACCTCCCCTTGCCATTTTTCAGATTAAATTGTTAATAAACCCAGGACCCTGCATTCACTATATCCGGTTTCCCACAGTACACAGAACATGGAAGTTCAATTATTTTATTAAATATAAACTTGCTAAATCCCATTTCTCATCAGCAGTTAGAGCAGTCGTGCTGACTTCTATCAGTGTCCAGCAAAGCACTGGTTAAAGCTTATAGGAGTTTTCATTCACCTCTCACTGTCCTATGAGGACTGCAAGACCCCTGAACTTCTGTCTGGGACAGTGTTGATTGGCCCTGTGCTGATCACATATGCACCCTCCTAAGAAAAAAAACTCTCTAGCAATATTACGCCAAACTGAGAATGTGCCGCTTGCCCCCAAGGCTCTGTTCTATCAGAAAATAAGTTTGGGGACAATGGAAGAAGATGGAAGATCTGAGAAGACAGGATTAAACATCCTTATTACACAATTCAGAGGATTAACCCCGTTTAAGTTCCACAGTGAGTATAACAAGCATGCTTTACTGCATATAAAGACTGATTTTACTGTTGTGGGTTTAGTAATACCTTTAGGCTGCATTCCTGCACAAGGAAGGACACCCCACATCCTACTAATCATGTCAAGGAGGTCAAGCTTTTACTCTCTTTAAACAAGGCTTCATTACCACATCAGGCTAACAAAATGCTAGATAAAAAACGCTGGTAATAGCGTTTTTTGCTAGCAATTTAATAGTGTTCAAAAGCGTTTAGGAGCGTTCGTTTTTTATTTGCATTTTTACAGTACATGTAGAAAGGAAAAAAAAAAAAAAGCTACAAAAAAAAACTGTTGGGAGCGTTTTTAGTAGTATTTAACAGGCATTTAGGAACATTTAATTTATTTTTCAGCTGGAAAAATCACTCTAAAAAAAACTTTACAAAAACAATTTTTTATTTCGGGCTCCTAGATGCTTGAAGCTAAAAAAAAACACTACTAGTCTGAAGTTAGGGGTGCATAAACACATAGGATAACACTGTTTAGCTTTTAGGCGCAGAAACAAAATGCTTAATAAACAGCTTCTAAGAGGTTCTAATAATTCTAGTGGTGCATGGAGCCTAAAAGATATTCTCACAAGCTACAAGTTATGGCAGGCCGTTAAATAAAACTTCTCCATAGCTTGACAAAATGGGTCCCTGTAATATCAGAGAAGCCACCCAAACAACACAATAATCTCGCTGATAATTTACTAGGAATGTCTCCACTGTTACAATTAGCTTTTCCTAGTTTAGTTAACTGGACAGATGAAACTACCGCACTGAGAGTTTCTAAGTGAATTATTGCTTTCCATGTTTACCAGCACTTCAGGAAAGACCAGAATTAAACTGCTTGTAAAACACAATAACTGACTTGCAAAAGCAATACACATTTGTATTCACAACAGCTATAAATTGAACCGGAGTAATTCACTAAGCACCCATTCTTCAAACTGATCTTTCATATGTAAAAACAATTAGTGTGACCTAATAAGATTTGCTTTTCGTTGCAAAGGTTAGAGTACATCCAACGCAATCACCAGACAATAAAATGTGGATCATCTGAATGCTAGACAGTCAGTATAAAATGCTGGCAGCTTATATCGAACCTTCGCCGCCTACGAGAGCTGTAAAAAACCATAAGGAAAGCATAGGAATCAACTGCCAGCTTTCCCCTAAAGTCATAGGTTATTAATTAGAAATGTAATGAAGAAAAAAAATGAATAGCCTACGTTTAATGGAAAAATAGGTTAAATTGATGGGTTCAGCATCATTCAATACACCTAGGCTCGTCATGGACATTTCCATTGTCCTGGGGCTCAGAGTACTACTTCATAAGGGAAATTCATGTGTCTTGCATGAGCACTATTTTATGTAGTTTTATGTAGATTATTTGTTAGCAGTAAAGGTTTTCCCATTTGTGTTCCACAAAAAGAAGAGGAGGAATTTTGATTGAAA